TTACCCTCTTTCTTAAAGTTAGCAATACATTACACATTTTCTGCAGGGTTTTTTCCACAAAAACAAAAACAAAACAACAAAAAAACCAGAAGTAACCCCACTGCAGTACACAGAGATATGCCTCATTTCTTTTTACAACCAGGACCCCCCTAGATGGGTATATGGATTATTTCTATTTTTTTTGCTATCACAAAGAGAGCCACAATGAATAGCCTCGTGTGTGTACCTTTTTATATTTTTGCCAGTGTAACTTTGGGATAGATTCCCAGCAGGTGGAAGGCTCAGTCAAGGGGTAGATGTCAATGCTATTTTGCTAGAGATTGCCAAATACCTCTCCCTAGAAACCATCTTATTGCATTTCCATTAGCAATGTACAAAAGTACCTACTTTTCTAGAGTCTTGCCAACAGAATATGTTGTTAAGTTTGTGGATTCATGCCCATCTGATAGGTGGGAAATGGTATCTCAGTTTTAATTTGCATTTCTCTATTTTTTGAATGTTAAGGAACAAATTTACAAATACTTTTCCCACCAACATATTATTTTGGGAGAGGCACTCCTTAAGTTCACAATAAAATGTATAAACACTAATGCAACAATAGTGACTTCTGAATACTTCTAAGCAATTACATGTGTCAATACTTTAGGTTTAAAGGTAATTAGCAGGGGCACCAGGGTGGCTCAGTAGGTTAAGTACCCCCTGCTCTTGATTTTGGTTCAGATCATGATCTTGCCATTTTCTGAGTTTGAGCCCTGCGTTGGCCTCTGCATTCTCTGGGAGCCTGCTTTGTATCTCTCTCTCCCTTTCTCTCTGTCCCTCCCCCACTCGTGCTCTCTCTCAAAATAAATAAGTAAACTTAAAAAAAAATATAAAGGTTGGGGCGCCTGGGTGGCTCAGTTGGTTAAATATCTGACTTCAACTCAGGTCATGATTTCGCTGTCTGTGAGTTCGAGCCCCACACCAGGCTCTGCACTGACAGCTCAGAGCCTGGAGCCTGCTTCAGATTCTGTGTCTCCCTCTCTCTGCCCTTCCCCCGCTCATGGTCTGTCTCTCTCTCTCTCTCTCTCTCAAAAATAAACAAACATTAATATATATATATATATGTGTGTGTATACATATATATATATATATAAGTAATTAGCAATATTGGATCTCCAATGACCTTTGACATGAATGTGATGCCATCTAGAAGCAGAAAACACACTTTGCATAAAAAACAGAAATTTCACAATATTAGCAGTAAGAACTATAATATTCTGCCAGGCACTATTCTAATACTTTACTTGTATAATTTTACAGATCCTCATAACAATCCTTTGAAGGACTTGCCAGGTGCCACAACAGGAAAGTTCCAGAATCAAGACATGAACTCAGAAGTCTGACATGAGAGCCTGAGCTCCTAACTGCAGAGACTTATTTAATATGATTATGGGAAAGCAGGCTCCGAATTTGCAGTGCTGGCTTAGATAATTGAATATAATTCTTTAAAAAAAATTTTTTTGGGGGGGTTATTTTTCTTTCAACATTTTATCTTTAAGTAATTTCTACACCCAACATGGGGCTTGAACTCACAGCCCCAAATCAAGAGTCTCATGCTCCACCAACTCAGCCAGGTTGCCCCTAGAATTTTTTTTTTTTTTTAATTTAAGTAGGCTTCATGCCCAGTGTGGCACCCAACATGGGGCTTGAACTCAAGACTGATGCTTAACTTAGCCATTCAGGCACCCCGCCCCTAGAATTCTTTTTGCCCCAGATTATCCTCTGTACAAACATTCTCGATTTCACAACAGTAATATCTTGCAAGTACATGAGTGATAAATATCAGGAAATGCATTTCACTCCAAAATGAAGAGTAAGTGAAAATGTCTAAAAACTCAAATCTTGGAGTGTGAAAAATGGACGGAAAAATTGTCATCATTTAGGCTATATTAAGGGTTGTTTTTCCTATCGTGGAGATGGGCTGGGCCAAACAGCCTGCTGTGAAGATGGAGAACAGTTCACAATCACTCCCATCTGTGACAGTGAAACACAGGACCACTTGATTTACGCAGAGACCAGCCTCACAACCTTGCTCTTGCCAACAACAGCATGCCATCACAGCAAAATCGGACAAACATATCACAGGGAGCTTGAAAGGGTGGAGAATGAGAGGCTGGAAACCAAAAATTTATCAACTTGAAATACTGAGTCCTTTCAATACCCAGTATTTGAGGACGGTGATCTTTTATTTTTCTCATAATAGATAAACATTGCAATGTATTGTTTTATGAAGCACCCAAAGATGCTTCATATTTTAATAAGAATTTATTTGCATTTTTTAAAGTGGAATAAAATTTTTACTCAGATTCGGAGGCATAGTAAGGTCTCCAAGAATTCACAGAGTTAAGACTGAATGCTGTATGTAACACCATGAAAAATGCTGATTCAAAGAAAAACCACACACACATTCACACACACAATTTTCATGGCCTACTCCTGAGAAAAACTTATAGACAACAGCCTCCTCACCCTTCACCCTCACATCTTCCTACACCATACTCTATTTTCCTCCTTTAGCTTTTCTCGTCTTCCTTCCGAAGCCCAAGCACTGAATGGATTCGGGTACCTGAGGAAAAGGGAGTTTACTCATACACTTTCTCCCACACTCCACCCAAGTCAAGACATGAAGGCAACATCAGGCACAACTCTACCTACCAGAGTAGGCTGCATGTGAAAGTCATTCCAGATGAGCAGTTACTTACTGTAATCAGTATCATGAAAATCAATATCTAATCAGTATCATCAAAATCCCTATAACCATCCTATGGACTATCACTCACAGGCTCTGTGACATGAAACCTTCTGGAGCACTCCAACCTTCTTTTTGTTTAACCACACCCTTAAGTAAACCTCAGGGCATAATGTCCTTTATCTGCCCCTGAGACAGGACTAGGACACAAACCCATCCTTTTTATTTTTTTAATATGTATTTATTTTTGAGAGAGAACGAAAGAAAGAGAGCACAAGTGAGGGAGGGACAGAGAGAGGGAGAGAGAGAGAATCCCAAGCAGTGTGCGGCCTGACACTGGGCTTGAACTCATGAACTGTGAGATCACCACCTGAGCTGAAATCAAGAGTTGGACGTTTAACCAACTAAGCCACTCAGGTGCCCTGAAAACACACCTATTCTTAAACATTCTCCTCTTGGCTGGTTCCCCCTTAATAAACCATTTCTTGTCAAGCTGGACTTGTCAGCCTTTTTCTTTAGTTTTTCTTTCGGTCCTCACATGTCACTTTGCATATACCTTTCATGGAACAGACTCCTTAACCAACATACTGTAGGTTTCCAGAAATTATGCCTTTGGCCGCATGTGGCTTCATCACTTACCAGCCTGGCAACTGAAAGAATGCCCCAGTGAGCCCAAGTGCACTGTTGATGAGATCCAGTTGGAGTTTCTGGACATGTAAGTGCATCTGGTGGGCTTTGTGACCCTGCTGGCCGCGATATCTGTTGAAGGAGGACCAGACACAGATCCTCATACTCCAAAGTCAACCATTTTAAAAATTAAATATGAAAACCAAATTTTACTAGCTTCCAATAGGTGAAACTTCAGGATTTCTCCCTGGTACTATGTATTGTTGGGGTCCGGGAGCCAACAGTCAAGAAATAATTCTTGAGACAACTTTGGTGCCAAAAAGGTGATTTTATTAAAGGATGGGGACAGAACCCACAGGCAGAAAGAGCTGCTGGGGTATTGTGAGGAGTGACTTACTACATCCCGATAATATATAATATATTATATATGATATAATGAAGAGTGACTGACTTTATCTACCTCCCTACCTACCTACCGGAAGGGGGTTAGGGATAGAATAAGTCTCCAAGCAATCAAGACCTTAGTCATGAGACCCTTCAGATGTGTATCAGTGGGCCATATGCTTGCAAGATGATTGTTAACATGTATCTTGGGTTGGGGGTAGAGATAAAGGAAGTTTCCAAAGGGATTTTTATATGTTAAAGACTTACAGGATCCTGGAGGTTGAGCTAAATTTGCCTTTTGCCTCCAGCAAAGTACTAACATTGAAGCATTTAAGGAGGACACTGAAGCAGTTCCTCCTGGAGGAAGGTCACTCAGTCTGTCTCAAGTGTTGTACTTGTCACTGGGCTGCAAGTTTTAAAGAAGTTTAATATTTTCTATATTTCTTTTGCCTGTGTTCTCCACCTCACCTCCACATAGTATAGATTTTTCATATATTATGTGTTATCACCAGGCTTAGTATTAATTTACCTAGACTTCAATGAAGATGACGATGATATAATTACACCTTGGATTTTTCTGTAAGATCACAGTATTATGGTGCATGGTTTTGAAAATATCTCTGTAAGACAAATAACAGGCAAATAATTTCTCTCCTGGTTTCTGAGTTAGGAAACTTGGAGCCAAGAGTGATAAAGAAGTATTTACCAGGAAAAAAGTGGCCATAAAAGGTTTCCCACTTCAGAAACTTGCACAGTACTTGTAGTGAAAGATCAGGTATGTTACCTTTTGATAAAACACTAAAAAAATAAAAAAAATCTCATCATCTTTGCTACACAGACAATTCAAAGGCTGAAGCTCAAAAGTGTAAATATTTCAGAAGAACTGTGGTAATGAAGTAAAGCAACAGATTTTCTGTGTACAAAAGTGGAAAGATTTAAATTTTTTTCTTACTCCTATTCCAGAGTCAAAGTAAGGAAGTTCCCTTCATTTTTTTTAACCTTATTGATTTATTTTGAGTGAGTGAGTGAGAGAGAGAGAGAGAGTAAGAGCAAGCATGAGCAGGGAAGGGGCAGAGAGAGAGGATCCCAAGCAGGCTCTACACTGTCAGCACCAAGCCTGATGTGGGGCTCCAACTCATGAACCGTGAGATCATGACCTGAGCTGAAACCAAGTCAGATGCTTAACTGACTGAGCCACCCAGGTGCCCCAAGGAAGTGTCCTTCGTACATGCTAAGTCTCAGAGCCTTACCTGGGTTGTTATTCTTCTTGATGTTTACCCAGCAGCATGAGATTTTGTCCAATCCACCACTTACTCCTCTCTTCTAGAAAGTCCCAGAAAAGATCCCGAACCTTCCCGGTTCCAAGTGTAAGCAAGGTGTCCTCCCTGGACACAGCAGTAGTTTTCTGCTTCCTCAAAGCTACAGTGAAACTTGTTAAGCTGATAACAATTATTTTTACCATGTTGCTCTGGGCTATTTAGCTCACATCCTAGAATGATACCTGTTCTGACATATAACCAAAGACAGATTCTTCCTCTTAAGAACATTTTCTCTGTGAACTATGAGCAACAACAGTGCAGGGGCTCAGCAGCTGCCTGGTCCTTTAAAAATGTTCTTAGTGGGTTAGTCATATTTGTTAGTATTATTCTTTTAGGAATAGGGAATAATTAGTCAAGGAGATAAAAGATGTTTTGTGTGTTTTTAATTTAAGAACCCAGGTGGAGTTCCTATAAGCTGAAAACAAACAGCAAAGATCAATAAAATGACGAGTCTTTATAGGGCACCACCACCTGTGTCTACACAACCAGATACGCTTTTAGCTAATTACTTGCTAAGCCTAAGCTGTAAAGGAGAAGATGATGAATATGTAAGTCAGAGTTGCTAAAAACTGAGAAAAGTATTGTGTGGTTTTTTAAAAGGAAACCATTCTGGCAGACCCCCAGGCTGTGTCTAAGTTATTGTATTTTGTTTTTTAAATACATTCAGCCATAAAACCAGGCATAAACTATATGCTAAAGCTCTTACACAACCATGAACGAATGAATACAAATTAATACAAACAGAACTGAAAATTAATGAAATGAAAACGTGCTGAACTAAACAGTTACCTGACATAAAAACTGTACTGGCTTATGACCACACAGGTTCTTTGGATTTGGCACACAAGCTATTTCATGCTGTAGGGAAAAATCAGTTCTCTCACCACTTTATTTAGCTTGCTGAAAAACCTTTGTTCATACAGCATGTCATTTGTTTTGCACCTGTGGCACATCTATCATTTAGTTTAGCCAGTTTTCTTTCTTGGCACCAAAATGTGATAACAAATACAAATAACTGTGGGCACTGACATAGCATGGTAGGTTTCAGGGTTCAGTTGGTTATCCAAATGGCCTAAATGCTTATACTACCTTTAAAAATCACTATGGAAAGATACTACTATCAATAATTCTCTTAAGTGTATACTCCAAGAATACACCCCCCTCAGTCTGAAAAACACTGCAGTAATCAAAAGATAAATATGGTATGGTCCCTACTTTCAGAACGTGTACAGTCTAGTTAGGGAAAAAAAGATATAACAATTGTAGTTTAAATAAAGACAGTGTCACTGGACAGGTACAGCATATATCTATCTATAAAAGTTCAGATGAGAAAGAAATTATTTCCAGCACGTGGCCATATTGAAATAGAAGAAACGGTCATACCGGGAGAAGCCAATGTGATTTAGTAAATGCATAGAAGAGGAAAGTATTTATAAAGAGAAATAATTCTGGGGGTGGGGCAGGGTGGGCACTTGTGGAGACAGCAGTGGGAAGGGAAACTAGAAAACTGAAAAGTCTTGAAATGGCAGGAAAAAGAGTGTCCAATTAATTTGGAAGGCTTCTGACTAGGAGTCCACTAAGTCTTCGCTGCAATGGAATCGTTCTGGGTGTTACAAGACTTTGTAACAAAGTGTTGATTTCCCAACACTTTCATTAATATACATACTTACGCACATACATACGTTTAAGGCATTTTTAAGTGAAACCTGAGGCTGATGGAAACTTCTCTGAGGTCAACTCCACAGTGCCGTAATTCATTCCAACCTTTTTTTCAGTGCCTGATATATGGTCTCAATACCTGCTTTACCTAGAGCGCAAGCATATCACATGTTCAACTTAAATGATCAAGATATTGGTGACAGTGTTGCTTAGAACTGAAGCTCTACCTATGCGCATTCTCTCGCCGAGGTCGCAGAGCCGCAGAACAGGTACACACACCACCCCAAGCCGAGTGTATCGCAACACAGCTTAGCGCGGCGCCCACACCTGGACTGCGGCGGGCGGAAGGAGCGTGACTGCCGTGACTGCGCGCGCGGGCACCAGCGTCTAGCCACACCTCCGGGGCGGAGCGAGGCCTTTTCGGCCGCTGGGAGGCCCGCCTCACCCTCCTGTCTGGCGATTGGTGAGGTGGCAGCTGCAGGGGCGGTGATTGGAGGGCTCACCACCATCTCTTCCAATGGAAATAAGCCAGAGGCGGGCCCAGTGGCGGAAGGAGCATGGCGTGGAGACTGCTGAAAGTGAGTTCAGAAAGCGGGCTCTGCGGCAGCAGAGCCAGGAGTTGGGCGAGGAGTGGGGCTAAAGCAGTTGGAGGGCTAACCTGGGGCGAAGTGCGGTTCCAAGATCGTGGGCCCAGTTTGCACGTCTGTGCGTGTCTGGAGGCACACGTGCGTGTGCATTTACACGTGTGCTTGGTCAGTGTGCACAAGGGCACGTTCCTGTCTGGGTAGATGCAGGTCTGTGTCAGCGCACGTGGGCCAAACGTTTATTGAGCCTGGCACACGGCACACGGGCGTTTAGTGAACACATGACCGCATAACATTGTGTGCAGGATCCATCGTGCAGTGAAGTTACACTAAAACATGGCCCCAGCCCTTCTAGATGAAATTTTAGGGCGGGGGCTTATGTAACTGTGTTCAGATACTTGTTGACATTAAGGAGCGTTCCTACAATCCGCTGGAGACTGGAAGCAAGACAATAAATACTTGTTCTGTATCGACAACTGGGAGTGACTTTCAAAAGGCAAATCTGATCATGCCACCAAGTTGTTGAGGGAGAACTCGAATCTTCATTTTGGCCAACGTCTCTGTTTATCTCCCCAGCTTCTTTTTAAGCCGTGCTTTGCCTTGTTCCTTGGTTCCAGACAAACCTTTCCCCTTCCCCCATTTCTTGGGTGCATCTCCTTACCCTGTGCCACTGTGAGCGCCTTTACACTTTTTCATACCCTTCCACCGCGTCCTAGTTAACTCCTATTTATCTTTTGGACATCAGCTTTAAGTCACTTCCTCAAAGAAGCCTTCCTCTACCTCTGAGATTGGGTTGGGGTGTGTTACTACCGTATGTTAATTCATAGCTATTGGCAGTTACATATTTGCGTGATCATTGATTAATGACTGTTTCTTCATAAGATTGTCGTCTCTTTGAGGGCGGAGACTGTTTCGCCCACCTCTGAGTGCTCGATTACTGTTGGGCAGATGACTGACTGACTGACTGATGACTCATCATCTGGCAGTGATAATTGTGAACCACTTTTCAAGTAGGATTCTTTGTTTTTGAGAGAAAGAGAGTGGGTGAGGGGCAGAGAGGCGGAGAGAGAGAAGCCCAAGCAGGGGCTCCATCCCACAAACAGTAAGCTCATGACTTGAACCCAAATCAAGGGTTGGATGCTCAACTGACTGAACCACCCAGGTGCCCAAAACTAGATTAGTGATTCTTGACTCAATAAGACCTGATGCTCCTTAAAAAAAATATTTTGCAACTGCTTTTATTATCCTGAAGTGGAATTTATGTATAATGTAATCTATCTACGTACAATTTTAAAAGATTAGCATAATGTCCTAACTGGAATATAAAGGAGACATTAAAGGAATTCATAATAAAATAACATGTATTTTGGTATGTAAATGTTGGGCATGACTCACTTAGTGAGAGACTCAGGTGTTTAAGCCTCTATTTGGAAATTCCAGCGCCTCAGGTATGTTTTCTTGTCAAAACCCAAACAAAGCATTATACCATTCCTGAGATCTCTGAAACGGTGAACAAGGCTTAGTAACATTCTGTGCAACACAGTGCAGTCATCTCTCAATTTATGATGGAACTGCATTCCTGGAAAAGTCAATGCATATGAAAACTGTGCATGACATAGTTGGTGTTTATGTGGTGGAATATAGGCTCAAATAATATGAATAGATTTTTTTACATACTGAATGTCAGTAGTATCTCCAAAAGTCATGCAAGACAGGGACACTTCATCTGTCAGACAGCCTAAAACAGTGCAGGTGTCTACCTTTACAGATTTCTGCCCACTTAAATCTATTAGCATTCCTCCAAAATGCCTACCACATGTCCCCCAGGGGGCAGTACTGCCTCTTTTGAAGCCTCTGGCCTAGAGTCCTTCAAGGCCAGACAAGTATGGGTCAGCAGAAGTGTGGATACAGCCTCTGAAAGTAGAGACCAATGTGTGAGCAAGACTAGAAATGAAGGAGACCAGTGTTTGCAGAAGGCCAGGGATATCGCTTCATATCACATGTCATTATGTCCTGTGTGCCTGGGTGTATAGGGCTCAGAGAAGTTACTGCGGTCTGGCCCCATTGGGCCTTTTTCTTTTTTTCCCCCTCAGAAGCGGGCCCAGGATGCTGTGGTCATCCTGGGGGGCGGAGGACTTCTCTTCACTTCCTACCTGACGGCCATGGGGGATGAACATTTCTATGCTGAACACTTGATGCCAGCTCTGCAGAGGCTGCTGGACCCGGAGTCAGCCCACAGGCTGGCCATTCATTTCACCTCCCTGGGGCTCCTTCCTCGTGCCACATTTCAAGACTCTGACATGCTGGTAGGTGCTCTTGGAACACCTTCTGATTAACAAGCTCCACAGGCACTTCTGACACAGACGTGCTGGGGCCTGCACTTTGAGAAACACCAGGATAGCCTGGCTTTGTTTCCTTCTCCCTAGGAAGTGAGAGTCCTGGGCCATAAATTCCGAAATCCAGTTGGAATTGCTGCAGGATTTGATAAGCATGGGGAAGCTGTGGATGGACTTTACAAGATGGGCTTTGGTTTTGTAGAGATTGGCAGTGTTACTCCAAAACCTCAGGAAGGAAACCCCAGACCCAGAGTCTTCCGCCTCCCAGAGGACCAAGCTGTCATTAACAGGTGTGTGAATGGACCAGAGGTCACAGGGGATGCTTTCTTCCCAGGAGGGCGTGCAGCGATGGGAGATCTGCCTGTTTTTTCTGTCATACAGTGTGGACGTTTTCTGCTATTGGGAATGTTCGAGAACCATGTTGAGCATCTCCTGTGTGGAGGCATAAAAGCAGATTTTATTATTCTAGTTTAACACATATACACCCCAGGGGCTCAGAGAGCTACATGACTTATCTCTAATCATGAGATCATAAGTGGGAGATCTGGGGTTGAGATTAATACATTTGACTTCAGAGTTTGTGCTTTTTTCACATTGTTGCTCCAGTGCTCTTGCCCAGCACTGTCCAGCAGAAATATGATGTGTAATTTAAAATATTCAGGTATGTAATTTAAAATATTCAGCTAGTCACAATAAAATAGTAAAGAGAAATGGGTGAAATTCACTTCAATAATATATTCTATTTAATTATTATTTATAATTATATCTAATTATAAATACTTAACATGTTCTGAATGTCATTTTAACACATAATCAAAATAAAAATGATTAATTAACTATTTACCATCTTTGGTAGCAAGTCTTCTAAATCCAGTGTGCATTTGACATAAAGCGCTCTCAGGGTGTACTGGCCACATTTCAAGTGCTCAGGGGCACATGTGGCTACAAGTTCTTGAACTGGATGGTGAAGCCCTACCCTTTAGTAAACTGGAAATTTTAATAATCCATATGGATAGCTGCTTTTAATAAGAGAGATCCTTCTAGATTGTGTAAAGCCCTTCTCTTTGCAATCCCTAGGCAGTATTCACTATAGCAAACCCAGAAAATGAAAAAGTGTCTGCTTTTTGGTAACAGAATTTTGAGAGTCTCCTTGAAAGAGTTTAATAGGCATCTTTGGGACCATTGATGGCCTTCTGGAAGATGAACCTATGGGAGTTTTAGGTGGCTGCACTTCCTGCTTTATTGTACTTATTTCAGGGAAATTTTACAGCATTAGAGATGAAGTTATTGAGCTTTCTGTTGCATTGCAGGCTGGGATCGGTATCTTCAGAATTTCCAGGCAAAATATACTTGTTGATGATTCGGCTGCCACAAGTAACTGCAGGTACCAGGACAACGGTACTGGGCAGAATCCATAAACGAGAAGTGGTTGAGGGAGGAGAGCCTGTGTGTTTGGCCTCCTTGCTGTGGGTGGCTTGGAGTGGGTGCCCAGTAAGCGCCTGCCAAGTGAACCGAGCAATTTATTCATGAAGTAAACAAAACAGGTGCTCCTCTATCTGTTCAGTGTTTTTGGCTACAAGTAACAAAGTGGCTTAAACAATAGGCATTTGTTCTTATTTCTTCTCTGGGAGGGAGCTTGTGGAGCACAGGCAGGAGGAGGAAAGATGGGTTGTCAGGGAGGCCCCGCTGCAGGGGAGGGGTACATAAGTGAGGAGGAGTGTGGGTTGGATTCAGACGGGTCGGGGGACAGCTACCTGGCGAGTCTGGGCTATTTCCAGTGCTAGGTACCTGAGCGACTTGTTTGCAAATTTCAATCTTTCCCTCTGTGTTTGATGGTGTTCTGGCAAGTTTTCTAGGAATTCCAGGGGTGTTTAAACCTTGAAAGTCTAAGAACTGACTCTGATTTTTTTTTTTCTTTCCTGTTTTTATTTTATTTTATTTTTTTAATTTTTTTTTTCAACGTTTTTATTTTTTTATTTTTGGGACAGAGAGAGACAGAGCATGAACGGGGGAGGGGCAGAGAGAGAGGGAGACACAGAATCGGAAACAGGCTCCAGGCTCTGAGCCATCAGCCCAGAGCCCGACGCGGGGCTCGAACTCACGGACCGCGAGATAGTGACCTGGCTGAAGTCGGACGCTTAACCGACTGCGCCACCCAGGCGCCCCTCTTTCCTGTTTTTAAAAGTCCAAAGTATAGTAGAAGTGGCCATGAAACCATCTCTCCAAAGTGTCTGCCTTATGGCCGAGGTCTCTAACCTCGTCCCCTCCCCACCTGCTTATATGTTACAGATATGGATTTAACAGTCACGGACTCTCGGTGGTGGAACACAGGTTGCGGGCCAGACAGGAGAAGCAGGCCAGGCTCACAGAAGGTAAAGTGGGGTTGTGCTAATGGGCCTTTCTCCATTTGTTG